TTGCCCGCGCTGGCCCAGCGCCACCCGAGGTGCTCACCTGCCACGGCAGAGAAGTTGTCACCTGGCTTCAGGCAGTGTGCCGCTGTCACTACCCATTTCTCATTGATGATGGACGCACCGCAGAAGCCCACGCCGTGGCTGTTCACCAGATGGACCTGTGGGAGCGGAAGGAAATCACGCCCGTGGGTCTGCGTAAATCGGTGGGGAAGAAGGGTGGGATGCGAGGGTTTTGTCTGGCTGCAGGACAGGCTGTGCTTAGGCTGTGCAGACCCAGAGCGGCTGGGGCCCCGGGGGCCTCCGTCCCCTGCTCTGCCGCAGAGGTGGCCAGCACTGCCCACGCACGTGTCGGTGCCCCGTTGCACTTCTCCTCCCCTTGCTGCTGGGCTGGGCGGTCATAAACCTCAGTGTAAAGCTGGGAGCGTCTAAAAGTCAAGCACTTCCACAGGCACCTCCTATAAGTGTTTTGCCAGTGACTAGCTTAACTAGGGACAAAATCTTAACTACCCATTTCATCTGGGCATCTAACTGCCTCGGTACTTCTGGGGCATAAGGCAGGACATCCCTTCTGCTAAAACTTCTATTTTGATTGATCAGCTCAATCCGTGGACTGTGTTTAAAAGCAGGGTTTCTTTAGAATTCACCCATTTTGTTCCTTCCAGCGACATGACTCGTCACTGTCTGTCCACCTCGTACTTCCCACACATTTACTCATTCAGTGCCTCGTTAGGCAGAGCTGGCTGTGTTCTAGGGAGCTCTGTGCCCGTAACGAGGCGGACAAAGCTCATCCACAGTGATGCACTGGAGTGCCTGCAGCCCTCCCCACACCGGTACCCCACGCCCACCCGCTGTCTCTTCACTGGGATCCGAGCCCCGCAGCCACCCCAAGCCCAGGGTCACCCATCCCACCCGGGCTGGAGCCCCAGCAGGCCCAGCATCCTCAGCTGCTGGCTGCAAAAGGGCAACCGAGATATTTTTCAGAGGTGAAGTAAAGGTCTCCGTGAGCACAGCTAACTAGCCAGACTTTGTGGGTTTGTAGCATGTGAATTTACTTCCTTTATGGGTACTGATTTCTTCTATTTAACTTTCTGTTTCTCCTCTGGACTCTCTGTGAACGTGTGGTGGCTGCCAGCATTGCCTGCGGTTTGTCCCACCAAAGGCTGTGCCAGAAGCCTCTGAGTGGCTGGGGCAGCCGTTCGGCCTCTTCCTTTCAGGCACAAAAAAAGCCCTCCCAACAAACCTCCTGCTGCTGCTGCTGTGGGCCCTGTATGTCCCCAGCACCTTACTGGCTTTGGTAGCTCTGAAATGGAGGGCAGACGCCTGCTCCTGACCTGGCTGCGTGCACCCTGCTCGCTGCTTCGCTCCCTCAGCAGACGTAGAGGGACCGACGGGTTGGTGTGAATGGGCATGTACGTCCCTGTGCGGGCAACTTGTCATAGGCATCACCAGTGTCAGTCTGTGCCAGGGCTGGCAACGCAGAGATCTGCCTTTCCTAAAACCTCATCTGAATTTATGATTTTGCACTCTCAGTCACTGAGATTTCCGTGCTCACTGAAGCCAGAGTAGCATTTAAGGGCAGTAGATGACTTTGAAAAAGATCCAAGCTAGGAGCTAACTTTCCTTCTGACAACAATTTAAAAGCATTTGCAGAGCGGCGGGTTGGAGGAGGTGTCTTTGCAGCCGCCCTTCGCCGGTGATGTCACTGCTGGTGAGGTAGAGATGACTAGGATGTCGCAAATAGGATGGGGCTGGGTGGAGAAAGAGCAGCTGGATTTTGTAAATGTCATACAAGGACAGGTCCTTTGTTGGTATAAATTATCATGGATCTGTTGAAACTGATGGAGCCAAAAAAAGGAGCTGCGGTGTTCCTTGCAAAGCTCCCCTCCCTCATCTTTTGGCTTGGTCTTGGTAAATTCATGGACTGCTGGGGAATCTGTTGCTAGAGTTTAAAACTTGATCCTTTGTGCCTCACCGGATAAAGCAGCTGTGACTCTGACTTAGAGATTATTTGCCAACCCGCAGCCAGGCAAGTTTTGTTGCTGTGGCATAAGACTGTGTACAGAAAGAACTTGTGTTAGACTTGAGACCTATTGCTAAACTAACCTCAGAGATGAGGTTTGGGGATGTAGAAGTAAGCTGATCCTGCATTCAGAAGGGGATGAATGGACGGAGTGATTGCTGGGGTTACAGGAGAGCTGCAGGAACAGCCGGTACCTGCCAAGGCACCTCGCCTCTCATGCTGTCTGATCCACCGACAACCCGCGTCCCCGTCTTAATGATCGGCGTGATTTTCGTGGTGGTGGTGCTGGTTTCCGTGACGTTGTCGAGCACCTCGTCGTGAGCATCGTCTTGGTCATCGGCGGTGATGTTCCAGTGCTCAAAGGTGTTTATGGCTCGGGTGAGCTTGCTCTTCGCTTCGGGAGCCGTGATCCTTCCGCAGGGATACGGCACTGGGAGAGAAACAGTTACGGTTACGGCTGGGGGGGGACCACGCTGAGAGTTCCAGCAATCGAAGGAGTAGGCGAGGAGACAAAAGCTGCCTTGTCTCGGCACCCTGTTTCGGGACCGGCACAGGAGACGCGGGGCCGTGGGCCACTCGTGCGTTCTCCACGCAAACAGATGCCCGTGCCTTTGAGCAGCAGTGCAGGTGACGTGTAAGAGTAGCAAAAGCATAAGTTGTTTCTGGGCTTTAGAAATGAATCCTGAACAGCTTTGAAAAAGAAGAAAGGTTGTGAGGGAGAAGGCAGGTCTGACAGGACGGTGCAGCTGCGCCTGCATTTCCCGCGATCCTGAGGTGTGTGACTGGGAGCCTTGCTTTTGGCTGACATTTCTACAGCGAGCGGCTCCAGTACAATAAAAACCCAGCTGGGAGAGGGCAGGAAATCATATCTGCCAATTGTACAGATAATCCTGCTTGGCACCAAGGTGAGGAAAACATTAATAAACTCTTTCCAGAGTTGTACATTTTCTCTGTTAATGAAGAGCTCATCTGTAGGCTCATATCAGAGGAGCTCTTCCCTTTCCTCTCCTACGCACTGAGTGTCGAATTCCTTCTGATAGTGGCAGTCAAAATAGTAAATAGCATCAGGCATTGTCTTTCATCTGAAAAGCTTTTGACAGTGCTGTGCAAATAAACTTTAGTGTAAAATCAGATGTAAGTGTGGCCTACTGAGACTCCACATTCTTTTTTAAACAGTCTGCGTTAGCAATAGGGCTCAAATAAGTGTTGAGTGATGGAAAGTGCTACCTGTGAGGTTAGGCTAGGAAATGAAGGTTTCAGAGACAACAAAAGCTAAGCTTTTGCAGGAAGGGCAATTACCCAACCTGAAAGATGATCTTATTGCTAACAGTAAAACTTTCTGCTCCAGTGAAAGTGATACAGCATGTTGGGCAACACAGGCCTGGGCTCTTAATGACCTCCGTGAGCTGAAGGACTCCCAGACTAAGACACTTCCTACACCAACTGCTGAAAATCAGCACTTTCAGTAGCTCAAAGTGTTCCTGGCTGTAGCTATCAGACCTTCAGAAACCAACTCACCTGTGCGGGTGCCTGCATGGTAGCTTAGGTGTGCAAATCTGTTACTCTCGGGTATTAGAAATAGGATAGCATCACATGTTCAATTGAGCTTAGATGGCAATTCTTTTCTCTACTCAGTCTCCTCCTTCCTCTGCCAGATGTGCTTCTGAGATGCTCGTGCCCAATTAACTTGCTGCATTGCGGTGGGTTGGGATTGCACGTGTCTGTGTAGCTACTGTAACAGCCCGGGAGCCCGGTAAAGTTGGGGAATAGAACAAGAACCAGCTATTCTTTAGCTCTTTTTGAAGCTGCAACTTCAAGCAATGCCTTTCCCCTCCACACCTTAGGGGGAAGAAAACTACTGATCCACATCTAGAAATATAAGGATCCATATC